ATGGAATGCAGGATAGTATCTGTACTTCTTTGTATTTACTAAGAGTTGCTTTGTGGCATAATATATGCTCTATTTTAGAGAAGGATCCATGTGCTTCTGAGAAGAAAGTGTTTTCACTCGTTGATGAATAATGTACTCTATATGTGTCAGTTAAGTCTAAGTTACTGATTGTATTATTGAGTTCTGTAGTTTCTTTGTTTAACTTTTGTTTGGAATATCTATCCAGTGGTGAAAGAGGTGTGTTAAAATCACTCAGAATTATTGGGTTGTGGTCTATTTGACTCTTGAACTTGAGAAGAATTTCATTGATAAATGTAGATGCTCCATTGTTTGGGGCATATATAATTATAACTGTTGTGTCTTGTTGATGTATGGTTCCCTTAAGCAGTATGAAATATCCATTTTTATCCCTTTTAATTAACTTTGGCTTGAAGTCTACTTTATTTGATATGAGGATGGAAACCCCTGTTTATGCAGACCACGTGAATGGTATATTTTATCCCAACCTTTCACCTTCAGTCTATGGATGACTTTTCCTATGAGATGAGTCACTTGAAGGCAGCATATTGTTGGGTCTGTTTTTTTAAATCCAATCTACCAGACTATGTCTTTTGATTGGTGAGTTTAGGCTATTACCATTCAGAGTTATTATTGAGACGTGATTTGTATTTCCAGTCATTTTTGTTTATTTTTGGTATTTAGTTTGACTTGGTTTCTTCTTTGTTTGGCTTTTCCTTTATTGTGGTTCTTCCCTTTACAGATTCTCATTGTTGTTTTTCATTTCCTCCTTGTGGTATTTTTGCCAAGAATGTTCTGTAGTGTAGGCTTTCTTTTTTTTTTGTGTGTGTGTGTATGTGTGTGTGTGTAAATTCTTTTAGCTTTTGTTTATCATGTATGTTTTTATTTCATCGTCAAATTTGAAACTTAATTTTGCTGGATGTAAGATTCTTGATTGCCATCCATTATCTTTTAGAGCTTGGTATATGTTCTTCCAGGATATCCTGGCTTTAGGAGTCTGGGTTGAAAAATCTGCTGAGATCTGAATTGGTCTTCCCTTACAGGTAATCTGATTTTTCTCTCTTGAAGCCTTTAAAATTCTATCCTTATTCTATATGCTAGGCATTTTCATTATAATGTGTCTTGGTGTAGATCTGTTGAAATTTTGTACATTTGGTGTCCTATAGGCCCTCTTATATTTGATTTTCCAATTCATTCTTCATGCTTGGGAAATTTTCTGATATTATTTCATTGAAGAGATTGTGTATTCCTTTGTTTGAATCTCTGAACCTTCCTCTATCCCAATAAATCTTAAATTTGGTCTTTTGGTAGTATCCCATAATTCTTGGATATTCTGTTCATGGTGTCTTACCATCTTCACTGTGAGGTCAACTTTATTTTCAAGATTGTATATTTTGTCTTCATTGTCTGAGGTCCTGTCTTCTAAGTGATCTATTCTGTTGGTGATGTTATCTATTTAGTTTTTTAATTGGCTTATTGTTTCTTTCATTTCAAGGATTTCTGTTTCTTTTTTTTCAGTATCTCTATCTCTTTCTTGAGGTAAAGTCTTGCAACCTGTATTTGCTCTGTTATCTCTTTGTTGGTATGATGGATGGTTGCCTGTCTTTGTTCTCTTATCTCTTTGTTGGAGTGATTTCATTTTTTAAAACTACCACATTTTAGCTTACTGATTTATATTGTAATGCACCAGAGGTGTCCCTGTCAGACAATTAGAAACACTGTCAATTTAGTATACTTCAAACTTTCAGTTAACTAAAACATTCTTCCAAGAATAACTTTCTGTGATCATTTTTAGTTATTTATTTGATTACAAAATATTATAGCTTAGAATCTATAAAGCCACACACTTTTTAGTCCAGATATTGTCCTAGTGAGTACACATTTGGGTGACTTTGCTGTTCCAAGGGTAGTCCTAGGATCAGCAGCATTAGCTTTATCTTTTTTTTTGGGGGGGGGCGGGTACTGGGGATTGAACTCAGGAGCACTGAACCACTGAGTCACACCCCTATCCATATTTTGTATTTTATTTAGAAACAGGATTTCACTGAGATGCTTAGCTCTCACTTTTGCTGAGGTTGGCTTTGAACTCAAAATCCTCCTGTCAGCCTCCCAAGCCACTCGAAGCATCAGTAGGTTTCTCTGTTGGTTGTTAGAAATGTACTGTCAGGCCCCACAGCATACTTGCTTCATTGGAAATCAAGACATAGGAATACTCGTTAAAGGTTGAGACACACTGGTCTAAATGAAAATGGGGATATAAGATATGTATACTAGAGCAGAGTAGGGGAAGGAGGTATTTTCAACTCAGGTTTTATTTATTTTGAAAAAATCAGTTTTACAAATAATGTATTATCAAATATGATGGTCTCTTAAAAATATTTTTATTATTGAATCCCTGATAGTATTTCATTTTCTTAACTTCCAATAATTTAAATATTTCAACAATATTGGTACCACCTTGACATCCAAGAAACCTCCATGATATTTTTCAGTTTATTCTCTCCTTAATCATCATAATGTCTAAATAAATTGATTTACAATTCAATAAATTGTTAATGGAAACCATACCTACTGCACTGCCAGTGGGATGAAAGATAGCACATGTAACTATGTATAGTACATAATACTTGATAATAAATGTTACTGGTTTATGTATTTACTAAACTATACTTCTATTGTTATTTTGAATATACTCCTATTTATATGGAAAAAGCTTACTATAAAACTGTATGCATGTTATGCTGGCAGCAGCCACATGCATCTCATATTCAAGTCTCTTGATTGTACCATTTTCTTTTGTGCTTGATGTAATAGTTTTTTCGTTTATCATAGCGATAGGAGTCATAAATCTGTATGAGTATTATACACACATATGGTTTCAGTACACAATGGGCCATACCATCTAAGTTCATTTAAGTTTACTCTATGATGTTCCTACAATTATGAACTTGCATAAGAACAAAGGTATCCCCATCATTAAGCAATGCATGTCTATGTATTGAACAGTTATGCCAAAATGAGTTATATTAAATGATAGAAATTGATAGATATACCCAAAGATTCAAACTGCATCTTTTATCTTCTGGACCCTATAGAGCTTTTGCAGCTGACCTGAATTTTTTGTCACATGTGTAACAGCATGTTTAAATAACAATATATTCTAAATATCCAATTTCTGCATTTCATCATGACTTTTTCAGGAAAATGGATGGAATTAGAGGTCATTAAGTTAAGTGACAGATTAAGAAGGTCAAGGATTGTATATTTTCTCTAATGTGTGGAAACTGGAAAGAAAAAAAGGGGAAAAGAAGGTGAAAGGAATTTCATGAAAATGGAATGGAGACCAGTGACGTGAAAGGGACCAGAGAGAGGGAAGAGAGGAGGGAAAGATAAAGCACTGGGAGAGGGGTAAGTCTGTGAAATTGACCAAACTGTGTTATGTGCATGTATGAATATGTAACAATAAATCCCACTCTTATGGATAATTATAACACACCCATAAAAATAGATCTGAACAAATTCTGTATTTCAAAAGTTGTGTAGGTGACATGCAGACTTTAAATATGAGATTTCTGCTAACTTGTCACCAACTCTTATGGAATTATTCATATCAAGGCTATAAAAATGTTTTGCAATGATTTTTTATGTGAGGAATAAAATTTTGAACAAATTTAAAGGTAAACTATCTCCCTAGTTCCATTATGGACCCTTTTCAGGAAAAAAGACCTCCCCAGAGAAGCAGGTGCATTCTACTGCTTCTTTTTCTCTTCTGTACATTACATCTCTTTTCTACCTCTCTGTTGTTTATTCTTTTGCTTCTGATATTTTGGTTGGACATATCCTGAGAAAACAGTCCAGAGAGCAAGACATATTTTTTAGGCTTGCCTTGCTAGGATGACCTAGATGGTCCTCTCTGGACTTGCCAGGATTGTAGCATGGATTCCAAATAAGTTTGTAAAACTTTTGACAACCCCCATCACTTCTAGGCCATGGCAATCATTGATCACTGCTCTAAGCACTTCAGTCTAAAGATCCTTCTTAAGAGGGTTCTTGCAGTCACAACTAAATACTTACGGTGGCACAAGGACTGAAACTCATTTAGAAACTGAATGCCTTTTCCAGAACCAATTCTGTGCTTTTAAAAACAATATAATAATGAATTGATTCTTCTGCCATTTCCATCTGTTCAAGTTCTACTTATCTTTCTGACTTAAACAATATCCGTGTGGCTGAAAAGGTGACAGAGGCACATGCTCGGTACATTAAATTCCAAGTTTTTCTAGAAGCCTTCCCTATCTATTGGCCAACACACACACACACACACACACACACACACACTATTGAGATCTTTCTGCACTCTGATCCTTGTATCTGTTTACTTGCTGGGAGGATTTATACCAGTTACACCAATATGACAGGTATGTCCAAGGAGATCTCTTCTACCAAAATCTATACAATCTACTGGAGAACAGCAACAAAAATCACTTCTGCTTTCCCAGATAGCATAGTGTATTGATAATGTTGTTGCCTCAGATTCAGAACTCATTCAGAACAAGCTTTCTACCTGCAGCAATATCCCAACATAGATCCCAAGATGATCCACTCACAGCACAGAGAGAAATAAGGAATAATTGTTTTCTGTAACTTCAGGTAGAAAACAGTCATAAATAAAAAAAATCATGATTTTGAAGAAAAATTCTTTCCATTAGAATGAAATTTTCAAAGAAAAGCATCAATAAGAAAAATTTAGAGGATATTTGATGAAACATTTATCAAAAAATACAGAAAAGAGTTGAGGCATGCTACGTCAGAGAGCTTTCTCTAAGAAAAATAAGAAAATCCAGGTTAACATAAATGCACTTGGAGACTATGGAAAATCACAGAGGCATTTCAGGGGCTGAGAGAGGAGCAGGCAACAGTCAAATGTGGCAGGACACTGTTGATTCTCAGACAGACATCTGAGGCAATAGGGCAGAGGCTCTTCATCTCTGTCCCACTCTGCTCTCTGACATCTCCAGGGTTCCTTGAGAAAGGCTGTTACCACCTTCATCCTTTTCAGGAGTGTCCTGCAGAGCCCGCTCAAGCACTAGCTTGAGGTTCTGGGACTGCTGCCTAAAGGAGCCAACAAAGAAGTAAATGATGGGGTTGGCTCCACTGTTAACACAGGACAAGACAAATGAAACCATATTAAGACAACCTAGTGTATAAAAATCATTGTGAATCCAGTAGACCAGGAACAAATAGATGCCAAATGGCAAACCACAGAGGAGGAAGACCAGAAATGTGAGCAGAATGGTCACATACAGCCTGCTCAGTTGCATCCTCCGGGATCCACAAAGGATCCTGCCCAGCAGGGTCAGGCTGGACCCTGAGAGGATCACAAATAAAAACATCAGCCACGCAGCTATAATAAAGTCAACAGTTTTACATCGATTAATCGCAAAACTCATAGACAGTTTTAAACAATAGACCCTGTCCAGGATGCTCAGTAACATGGACAGGGCCCAGAACAGGGCACACATGACAGCTGACATGTGTGTAGGGCGGTGGCAGTGGTACCAGATGGGCCACAGGACCGACAGGCAGCGCTCAGTGCAAATAGCACTGAGCATGCTCAGGCCTGCAATGTAGCACATGATTCCCCCAGTTCGTATGATGCCATAAGTAGGGACGGAGAAGCGAAGGAACATTTTGATGACATCTAGTACAAAAGCAGTGGTATTGAAGCAGAGAAAGAGGAAGTCAGCAGCAGCCAGGTTGAGGATGTAGACAGAGAAGGCGTTCCTGCGTATGCGGAAGCCCAGGAGTAAGAGCACAGCCACATTTCCTGCCAGTCCGACCAGCAAAATGATGAGGGTCAGCATTTTTGAGGTCATGTTATTCATGTTACAAGTTGGATGAGGGCTCAGGTAATTCCTATCGGTTGGTGTGGCTTCTATCTTCCAGACTGGGATGGTTGAATTCATGCTTCCAATCTCTCCACTGGTGACCCTGGTAACAAAACAAGACTTGAGCACTGATGCATGAGATCTGATTTTAAGTATCATCTTGCTATGTGGGAATTACTCTCTCCACTTCAAAGAGGAAAAATAAAACCAGGAATATGGAGATGAACTCATGTATCAAGGGCTCGGGAGGGTGGTTCTGAAATATGGATTCAAATTCAGTACTCATCATCTGAATAGCTTGAGCTCTCTGACCTGAAAATAAATGACATAGCAATATGGTATGATCCAAACACTCCCACTTAATGGGCTTGAGCTGTGGACCAGCTCTGATTTGTCCTTGAAGTTTTCTCTCAGTTGTAGGAATTGAGGCAGACGCAAGGGTGGTCATGATACCCCCATGACCATGAGTATTTCATTCATGGAGAAGAACTTGGCTTTGTGACCGTGAGGAAAATGTGAGCTCTTACTAGGACAGGAGAGAGAATGGCTGGGTCTAGAAACTGCTCAGTGTGTCAGATATAGAAGAAAATTGTCATTTTTGACATTTGCAGTGCTGAGATATGTGTGATCCACTGGTTCTCAATACTCGTTCAATGGATGAACGCATGAAAGGGGAGGGAGACTTAGAGTGTTAGATGATTTGGGATAAATACCATAATTGGCATTAGAACACGCACATAAAAGAGAGAAAGCAAAAATCACTTATCGTAATTTTTATTGTGAACAGCTCTGGGTGTTTTATAATTCATCACCTGCGTCCTAATAGCATGTTGACTACAGAAGTGCCTTTGGAGTAAGGATTCAAGACGGCTTTGTTCAGCACTGAGGACAGTTTTGGAGCACAGTGGGGGTAGCATTTGTGTCTTAGCAGAATTGCTCAGCAGTGTGGGATAGGAAGTATCATGTAGGAGTGAGGTCTGAGTGCCACTGAAAAGAGGTATTTGAAGTGGGTGACCCTCTATGGAGTACTATTGAGTGGTGTGTATAATGTAGACCTACTGCGTTCTCTCTTCCTAAAGATCCTAGTAGCATTTTCTTTCTTGCTAAAACAAACAAACAAAAAAACTTTTGTGTCACTGAAGCCTGTGAGGGGAAACAGAAGAGAGTGCTAAGATTGGAGTGTTTAGTTTCTCATGCAAATTTGTACTGGGGAAAGAAGACCAGATCATATCTTAGTGATAAACAGGAGCTGATTGAGAATTTACCAGATAATTTCCCTTTGAGTCCTCTCAAGAGTCTATGAGGTAAGAATTAGGATTTTCCCCATTTCATAGAGAATAAGCAGGATGAGGGGTTGATCCCTGTTTCATACACTGTGGACTTGAACACACCAGGTTCTACACTTTTGACCAGTACTTTGGCCCATCATCACTGTGTGCTCATCAGAGAAAAGCAGAGGAGTAACTCCCAACTTATATGCAACGTGGCAGTCAAAATCGTGGATGAAATTAAATCTGGCATAAAGTGAACTTGAGAAACAAAGAGGGAGAAAAGCCAGTGAAAAAAGAAACAAAAGAGGTGGTAGAAGTCAGTAAGCAATAAATATGGGAACCCAAAGGCCCTTTCCAGTGTCCAAGGCAGCCATGACTTCAGAATCCAGAAGGCTCACAGAGACAAGAGGCTTTCAAGTGGACAGAGGATATATTCTCCTCTAGACTTGCTGAGGGGCATTCCGTAAGTAATGCACCCATTATGAAGCCACATCCCCGGCCCTATATTTTATTTAGAGACAGGATCTCACTGAGTTGCTTAGTGCCTCACTTTTGCTGAGTCTGGCTTTGAACTAGTGATCTTCCTGCTTCAGCCTCCCGAGCCACTATGATTACTGGTGTGCACACCATGCCCAACACAAAGAGAGTAATTTTGAAAAGCAACGAAACCTACTGTACAGCATCTCAGCTCTGGCAAACAATATCTACATGGGGCTTTGCTTTTTAAATGAATAAAAGAGGCAGCAATCTCTCTGTGACAGAAGATTTGAATGACTGAAATAAAGGGAAAAATATGCAGAGTTGGCTCAGAAGGGAGAAAGGTCTGATTATCCCCATTTTAAACTTCCACAGCAGGAGCTTCCAGCACCCAGTTTTCAAAAGGATGATTCTATCTCCTGCCTTTCCCTGAGAGAAGTACCATGACTCCCTCTATTTAGCAATCAATGGTAGAAACACAGGGATGTGAACTCAGAGCGAACACCACATATACCAAGAATGGAAGGCCCCCTTACCTTTCTTCCCTTCTCCTGTCCAGAGGTGGAGAGCTGAACTGTGCTATCCGGGAAGAGCCTTTCTCAGATGGGTGACCCCAGAGTATACTTCTTTGTTCTCCAAGTCAGGAGATGCCTACAAGAGCTGGCGTAAAAGTTGGTGACCAAGTGAGGCTTATAAAGATTATGGACAGTCTTTGTAATTTTCTGTCCTGGAACTTGGAGCAAATTGGAGACTAGAGTCATTAAAGACTTGATCCTCCCCTGAGATGTTTCTTGGCATCTGCCCAGTTTCTACTTGCATATCAGCCTCTCTCATCCTGTCCATTTTCATCCACTTCCCTGTAAATAGTATCTGTTCAGTCCATTTATTGCCAACTATAATCCTGGATAGCAACATCAAGCAATATGAACTTGCAAAGTGGAACTTTCTAAGTAAATAATAAAGTATATCATTGGGTCCCTCAAAGCTCATCATGTCCTGACTCCACTTGTTTTTTTCAGTATTCTATCTTAGCAACAATGCATTCATTTGTAGACTTTTGTTCCAAATGAAAGATAAATGTTCATAGAGTCGATATCTCACTGAATTTCATTCTCCAGAGGTCACCACTTTCTATCTCTGCCTATTCTTTTTTTTTTTTTGAGAGAGAGAGAGAGAGAGAGAGAGAGAGAGAGAGAGAGAGAGAGAATTTTTAAAAAATATTTATTTTTTTAGTTTTTTTGGCGGACATAACATCTTTCTTTGTATGTGGTGCTGAGGATCGAACCCAGCGCTGCGCGCATGCCAGGCTTCAGACATATCCCCAGCCCCCTGCCTATTCTTAATTCTTTCTCTGAAGAGCAAACCCATATTTTTATTTTTAAATTATCATTACGAAAAAGTGGGACAGTTGATTTTCCTTATGAAATAGGAAGTGTTCAGCATAAATAACACTTTTGTTTCTTTCTCCACTTTATGAAATTTTTTATTATTTATTTTCATTTAGTGACATTACTCAAAATTTTAAATCATCTCCTATGACTTTCCTTTTTGTTCTTCATGTAACTGTCTTATTAGTCTACTTGTTGTTTATAAACATAGTTTGAATCAGAAAAAGTGATGGGCATGAACCTTAGGGGTCATGGATGGAATGCTATGGTTTGGATATGGTTTAATAGTGTCCCCCCAAAGGTATATGTGATTGGTGCTTGGTCTTGGAGTGGCAGTACTGGGATGTTCTGTGGAGTCTTTAAGAGGTGGGGCCTAGTGGAAGGTCTTTAGGTCATTGGGGCATGTACTTAGAATGTACTCAGACAACCCCTTTATTTCTTGTGAGACAGTTGTTACAAAGGTGGGAACCTGGCCCCACTCAGCCCTCTGCTTCCTGACTGGAGATGTGACCATTCCCCCACATATGCTCCCATCATCTCCCAGGAGGCTGGGCCCAGAGTCTGAACTGTGACTTTTGAAATTGCATTAAAAACAGAGTGAATTTAAACTCTTTATGAGTAGCCCATGCCAGGTATTTTTATCATAACAAAGTTGACTAATAAAGAATCTACTTAAAATATTTAGAAATTTTATTTGGTGGATTAATTCAGCAAATATTTAATAAGACCTTATTATGGGCTGAATTGAGTCCCTTTAATATTTATAAGTAATAGTCCTAATTCCCATGATCTCAGAATATGACTGTAGTTGAAGTCGGAGTCCTTGAAGGGCTAATTAAATTAGTATGAGGCCATTGGGGTGGGCCTTCCTCAGTATGAATGGTGTGCTCATAAGAAGAGGAGATTAGGACATACACACTCTGAGGTGGGGCATTGTGAAGACAAAAAGAGAAGAGGATTCCATTTACAAACCATGGATAAAGGCCTCATGAGAAACTGACATAAGAGACCACTAGACTTCTTGTATAATAACTAAAATAAAAAATGTTTTTAATTTCAAAAATTGGAAAGCAGTTGGATAAACTGGATTTTTCTTACATCACCAGTGGAAAATGACATAATTCGGCTACTCAGAAAAATTCGGTTGCATTTTCTAAAAAAATTGTTTACACTTCTTCTTCCACCCAACATCCTACTCCTGGCATCTAGCCCAGAGAATGGAAGATGATGTTCACTTAAAAATCTGTTCACAAATGTTTGTATCATGTTTACTGTGATAGCCAAACTGGAAGCAAACAAATTGTCCTTTCAATCATAATTTGTGAAACAAAGCTTAATAAATCCTTAGAATGGAATCTTGCTCCATAATTGAAGCAAATCAACAACAAACCTTTAATACATGGTACTACTTGGATGACTGTTGAGGACCTTATGCTGAGAAGAAAAATACAAACTTAAAAGTTAGACAATGTGTGATTCCTTTCACAGCATTTATAAAGTGACAAATAGGGAGATAGGGAACTGGCCAGTGATTGCCAGGGGTTTGGGAAGTGGATGTGGTGGGCGTGAGGCATAAAGGGGAAGCACAAACCAGTTCTTTTGTGGTGAATTAGTAGCTTCATACCTTGAATGTGGTTGCTGTTATGTGAGTCTATACATGTGATAAAGTGTCATAGAATTTTACAAAAATGCATAATCCCCTAAAATTTGTGCATGTAAAAAGTGATGAAACCCAAATGATATCTGTAGTGTTAAGTGATTTGGTTCTATCAAAAACATCAACTTCCTGGTTTTGATAATACACTGTATTAGTGGAAAATATCACCATTGGTGTAGTCTGGGTAGTGGGTATATAGAAACTGTACTATTTTTACAACTTTGATTAGTCTATAATTCAGAAGGAAATACTAAAAAATATTTGAATGGTTGGTTTATTGGATGA